CCTGTTTATGCTGCCCCCACATGGCAGCTCACCACAGGTATGGTAATACACGTATATGTGAATGTGTATGTGTGTGCATATATATGTACTCTATATAGCTGTTTTGTCTGCATGTATGACTGTGGCATTGGACCCCATGGAACTAGCATTACAGACAGTTGTGAGCTGCCATGTAGGCACTGGGAATCTAATCTAGGTCCTTTGGAATGGTAGCCGGTGCTATTCTCAATCGCTGAACCATCTCCCCGGTCCCCACGGCTATGGCATTCTTCCCAAGATTTAACAAGGTCATGGCTCTGTCTTCCCAGCTGAGTATCCACAAGGTCTCTCATTTGTTCCAGGGAACCCTCCATTGCCTTGGCCTCCAGTGAAGAAGGTTTGCACATCACATTAAAAAGAGCATTTTTCAGGCCAGGCGCAGGGGCGCACGCCTTTAATCCTAGCACGCAGAGGTAGGCGCATCTCTGTAAGTTTGAGGCTGGCCTGGTCTACAAAGAGAAAGCCAAGGCTACAGAGAGAAACTGTCTTGGAGAGAGAGAGAGAGAGAGAATACTTTCCCCCTCGAGGTGCCTTCTCCTGGTTCAGATTTAGCTGTGGGGTGCATCCCACAGAGCACAGCTCTCTAGATCTCCCAAGAAGCCAAGATGTGGTGGGGCCAGAGCGGCTGGGCAAACTTGCTTCCTGAGGGGCTGCTCACCTCATCTCCCCAATGTTCCAGAACACAGGAGCCTTCACAGCTGCATAAGGACAGGCATTCAGTCTCAGAGACAAGAAGGAATTCACAGTGACCAGGCTTTCCTTCTCTGTGAACTGTGGTGACGGTTTTAATGTACATTTGGCTAAAATTAGGATCATTTCTGTTGATTCTGGGTTTACCTAACTGAGTTCAGCACCACGAGGAAGTTTAAATTGGCTTGCAGTCTGGAGGCATATGGAAGACTGGAGAGAACTGATGTGTGAGCAGGCACAGGTCTGGAATCAGAGACTCATTCAGGAAGCCCAAGATTAATGCCTAGGGTATATCAGTGCATGAGAAATCTACCCGCCAAGCAACACACCCCAAGAAAGACACATAGAACATCTCAGACGTAAAGCATATGTTTATGACTGAAAAATGGGGACCATAAGACCATTTTATTACTTATGGGGTCTCTTAAAAACATAGTTTAAAAATCTTGGAGCAAAGTCTAAAGATCTGAAAGACGCAGGAGGCGGGGTCTCCCTGCCAATAGTCACGTGCACACGGTGACTGTCGCCCGTCTCTGTCTTCTGTGTGGGATTGCATTCTCCAGGAAGAGGAGCCTGCGCATGCCAAGCTGGGAAGGTGGGAGACGAAAGTGCAGAGTACAGCATGCAACCAGTGTTTGTTCAGCAATGCACACATACAAACACACGCATCCATTTCTTTCTCTATTTATTTACTCTACGTACATATTTGTTGATATGAAATATATTTAGAAACATATTTATAAATTAAATGCCATCTCCATTTTGATTACGTCAGAAAATTCGGAAGTCATGTAAGTTAGATGACATCTGAATTTTCTGGTAAGGTCAAACAATATTTAAAAATGAATGAGGCTTTCTATTTATGGAATGGCAAAAAAAGGGGGAATTTATAAAACTCTAACTCCTCTATGAAAAGGCTGGAGAACTGGTAAAATGATCAAAATAAAGTTTTTCAGAGTTCTGAAAATGAACTAATGGCTTATAAGAATTTGGAGAGAATGTATTCAAGCAAAACAGATGAATGTTGGTGAAATGCCCCTTAGCTCCTTTCTCTGGCTCCTCCAAATCCCTTCAAAGCTGTGAAGACACCTCGTTGTTGACTTACTGAAAAAACTGCACATGTAGGGACAGCCTTTATCTGAGCAGTCCCAAGAGCTCACTCTGTGTGAACAGTCCTGAAGGCTGAGGTGTGACACTGGCTTCATATCTAATATACACCAGGCCCTGGGTTGGAGTCCACCACTGAAAAACAGAGCAAGGTTGCACAAATAGATTTACTGGCAGGGTTATTTAGTCAAAGCAGCCAGCGGCAACTGTTTGACAGCTGTTGGCGGCCTGTGCTGAGGTTAGCGGTGGGAGTCAAGGCTGTTTTAGAACATAATAATAAAGGCTGAAGAGATGGCTCAGTGGTCAACAGCTCCGGCTGTTTTTCCATAACACCCAGGTTCAATTCCCAGTATCCCAGCACATGGCATCTGACACCCATCTGTAATTCCAGTTCCAGGAAATCTGGCCACCCTTCAGGCCCACATGGGCACCAGGCACAAATGCAGCGCACACACATAAGTGCCAGCAAAACAGACATACATATAAAATAAGTAAATCTTTAAACATTTTTTCTTTAAACTTAAAATGAAAAATCGGAGGAGGACATACCCACAGACCTTTGAAAAAGCGTGACACGCTCTTAAGAATTAGGAGGACTCACCTAGAAAGACTCTGACCTCTCACCTGTGGCCAGCTTGGAGCCTCTGCTTAAGAAGCAAAGCAGGACAGAGTTGTAACTGCCTTTTAGGTTACTCTGAAGGTGACGTCTATATCAGGTCACACAGAGGGGAAATGGGCCTTCCCGACAGTCATGGGAGTTATGGAGTTAGCTGCTATGTGGGTACTGAGCTTCAACTCTGCAAGAACAGTCAGTGCTCTTAACTATTGAGCCATCTCCCCAGCCTTTCTGTGGGGGAAAAATACCTTAAAGGTAGATACTTTTCTTTGTCTTTACAGGCTAGAACTTCTTACTAGACCCCTGACTGGCATTAATAAAGTTTCATTTGAGGACAGTTTGACTCAGTGACTCTTTTTCTCAAATCTCCTCTCCTCTACCTCTCTAAAACCTAGTATCTGGTGCTGCAACCTGGGAGAGAAGTATTATTGAGAAGAATTGGCCCACGGAGCTCCTTCAGCCAGAGAAGCAGGCTGCTCTCCCTGCCTGCAACAGAAACTCTAGAGCTAGCCTTGCCCCTGCGTTTCCTCTACCTGCTGATGCCTTTTCTCTGCCTCAGTGTAGTGTAAGTAGCCTGGCCAGTACCGTATTGTGCCTGGTGCCCAGGGAGGCCATTGGATACCCTGGAACTATAATCTCAGATGGTTGTGAGTCACCATGAAGCTCAAAATCTTGACTGCGGTACCATCTCATCTCTGTAGCCTTAAAAAACAACTTTTTTTTTTTTTTTTTTTTGAGACAGGGTTTCTCTGTGTAGTTGTGGCTGTACTGGACTCGCTTTGTAGACCAGGCTGGCCTCATATTTACAGGGATCTGCCTGCTTCCTGAGTGCTGGGATTACAGGCATGTGCCACCTCTCCTGGCTTAGAGTATAATTCATAATGAACCAGTTCTTATATATTATGGCTGTGATGGTCAAACATCTTAGAGAACACTCTAAAAATCAAGCTGACAGGTCAGTATTGATCCAGGGTGGGTGCAACTCAGTGAAGGCATGGCTGAAAGAAGACATGAGGAAACCTCTCAGGAACCGCAGTTAACTGTGAGCAAAGAAAAGCAGAATAGACACACAGTGATTTGGAAAGAGCTGCACTGAACCAGGTAAGAGACACAGAGTCTAGTGTGGACCTACAGGGCATATTTAAGAAAGTGTCTCTCGAGCAAACTGACTGAAACCAAGTTAACAGATTTCACTGACAGGGATGCTTGTCTCTTCAAAACACCTCATTGTAAAGTGAGATAGTTATAAACTTCTACTTGACTTTAAAGCCACTAAAAGCTCCTCTTGGTCTTAAGCAAATCACCAGATCATCTTGAATTCCTTCAAGTTGAAAATGGTCTTCAGAGAAGGTAAAGGGCAACCATCCTATGCGTCGCAATGACACTCCTTTGCAGTTTTATTACCTCAGGGTCCTGGAACAGGCCCTTTGAAGGGGTCAGGTTTTCGCTGTCATTTTTATCTAGCAGCTTCTGCACTGTCTGGTCGTGTACGTTCTTTAGCCGCAGCCGTGGAGCACAGTCAACACAGCAGGGAGCTACACGACCCTGAGCTTCTAGGGATCAATTCTGGCATCCTCCTTTCCTAGGCCCACAGGATACTCAAAAGGAGCATGAACAACTTACTTTCTTGATTTGGTAGGCTCCAACTACAACCAAAATATCTTGGCTCTTGTTCTCAACAGAATTCTGCTAAGTATAGTCGTTAGAATGATGAACTCTGTATATCGGAGGGGTACTATTATTTTTTTCTAGTAAAACAATATGACAACAGAAAGTCTCATGGGTTTTTTTTCTAATAGTATGAATTCCATTACATAAAATACGTATTTAGAATCTTGTCTATACTTGGAAAATGTTGTATGTTATGTTCAGGATATCCTGAAACTCACATTTATATTTTATACAAGTACATACTCTGATCACTGTTTATGTGCTGAGAAAGATATTCTTTAAAAAAAAAAGTATGTATTGCACATACAAGATAAATTTGAGTACAGGCATACATGTGCCATGACATACATGTGGAGGTCAGAGGACAACTTTCTGAAGCTGGTTCCCTCTTCTACCATGGATCTGGGGATGAAACATGTTGTCAAACTTGCAGAGCGAGCACTTCTACCCGCTGAGTACAGCCCAAGGTAGAACTGCTTGCAAACTGTATGGATTCTTCACCTGTCAATAAACAGCTGATCAGCCTATTGCTGAAGCAGGAAATAGGAGGGAAGAGTTCCGGCATAGAGTGAATGCTGGGATAGAGTGAAGCATGTGGGAGATTCACCCCTGGGTTCTACAGAAGTCGGATATATGAAACTGAGCAGAGGCAACCAGCCATGTTGCAGAGCTAAGAATAGAATAAACAGGACATTAGTTATGAACAAGTCAGGGAACATGCCTCGCTAGGTTGGCCTAGGCTTTTGTAAATGCATTTAAGGCTCTGAGTCGTTATTTCAGGAGCTGGGGTGCAGGAGGAAAACATGCATTTATGCAGGGTAAATGCTCATATTTTATAACAACACACAGTAAGTATGAAAACACCATGACAAGAAGTATTATTCCACTTTATTTAAGCAGTAATAATTAGAAACGAATATCCAACAGGAAATTGTTTTTAAAAAGATCACAGAACCCCATTCTCTGCTAAACCACACCGTGGAACTCTGAACTGTTACAAACACTGTGCCAAGTATTTAAAGACATGTGGCGGTGCCACTTACTACCCCGTGTTCCCTAGCAGCTCTCCATCACCATCCTTCCCATTATTTCTCCCATCCTCTCACTCAGCCTCTCTTTGCTCATTCTGTGCTTGTACAAAATTGTACGCGGAGATCTTGACTGGAAGAGACTTCAGCAACCTAGCACACCACGGCAGTTACCACCAGCCAGCATGCTCGCGCTCCTCTCCGGCCACAAGAGCTGAAGCTTCCCCGTGTAGACGCACCTTCAGCTGAGCACCGGATCTACCTCTGTGTGCCCACAGGGAGCCGCACGTGATCACGACACAGGACGGTGCATTCACTGAGGAGCCTTATGAACTATTCCAAATCACCAGTCTTGAACAGGAATGGATTTGTCCTCTATACAAGCTGCAGGAGAGATAAACATAGTGTCTGAAAATTAACAATGTAATCAACCCCGTGCAAAAGAAAATAAAAATCTAAAATGAGTTAAATATTCTTCTTGGGGAAAATGAAAGGAATGGCCTGAACTGAAATGTAAAAGCTAAGAATAGAACTAAACAGAAATCTAGAAAACACATAAAAAAACAAAATCACATAAAAAACAAAAACCAAACATACTATATTGAGTTTTTACTCCTAGTACTCAGGAGGCAAAAGCAGGTGCACCTCTGTGAGTTCTACACAGCAAGCTCCAGTACAGCCAGGACTACATAGAAATATCTGATTCAACAACAACAACAACAACAACAAAAAAAAAAACAAAAACAAAAAAAAACCCAAACTATATATATATATATATTACATTAACAGCAATAGAGTTGAATGGAAATATAAGAACATCTTTATGATTACATCAAAAAGTTCACAGGCATGGAGGCTGGAGAATTGATTCAGTGATAAAAACACTTGTTCTTGATAGAGGACCCAGGTTTGATTCCTACCACCCACACAGCAGCTCACAACCACATGTAACTCCAGTTCCAGAGGATCCAACATCCTCTTCTGACCTCTATGAGCACCAGGCATGAGTGTGGTACAGACATACATTCAAGCAAACACTTATGCACATTAAAAACAACAACACAAACTCACAGATATAAAAGACAACATTGTTAAGCTGTCACTACTGCCCAAAGCAATTTACATGTTCAATGAAATCACTATAAAGTTAAAATTAGATATTTGGGAGGGAGAGAAGGAGAAAGGAAAGAAAGAAAAAAGTAAGAAGTTTCCTAAAAATTCACGTATAGAATCTATGAGACCCTGAATAACCAAAACATCAGAAAAGAATAACGCATAGCAAGACCCTGCCTAAAAAACAAACAAACAAACAAACAAACCAGAAAGAAAAAGATAGCCTACAAAATGGCAAAAGACCTAATGTTCTTGACAAAGAAATATATAAAAGCAATGCAAAAGGAAAATTAGGTGGACAGAAACCTTGTTAAAAGAAAGTAAAAAGTAAGCCAGGTACATACACCTTTAATCCCAGCACTCAGGAGGCAGAGGCAGGTAGATCTCTGTGAGTTCAAGGACAGCCTGGTGTACAAAGCAAGGCTAGGACAGCCAAGGCTACACAGAGAAACCTTGTCTTGAAACCCCAGAAAAAAAAGTAAAAAGTATTACATTAAGGAAATTGAAGGGCATAGGCCCAAAGATGCCGTATTTCATGCAAATACAAGTTATAAAATAAGATGCAATTTTTAAATCCACTAAATTAGGAGAAAAATAAAATACAAAGTATTAACAAGTGTGGAACAGATATTCTATAGCTTATAGGAATGTAAAGTATTAAAAGCACTTTAGAGGGGCTGGAGAGATGGCTCAGAGGTTAAGAGCACTGCTTTGCTCTTCCAGAGGTCCTGAGTTCAATTCCCAGCAACCACATGGTGGCTCACAACCATCTGTAATGGACTCTCATGTTCAGGTGTACATGCAGGCAGAACATTGTATACATAATAAAATAAATAACTCTTTAAAAAAAATAAAAGCACTTTAGAAAAACAATGTTACCTTAAACCAATCCATCAATTCTACTCCTTGGTGTAACTGCTACAAATTTATATCAAGGAACGTTTGTAAAGAATTACAGTAACAATGTGCACTAAAAACAAAACAAAACAAACCTGAAAATAAAACATCATTGATACCTAATTCTAACACATTACAGAATAAAGTCCTATTTGAGAGTAGCTGTGGCGCTGCACATCTTTAATCCTCCAGAGGCACAAACAGGTGCATCTCTGTGAGTTCATGGCCAGCAAGTTCCAGGACAGCCAGCACTACAAGGAGACCCTATCTCAATAAGCAAACAGTCAGACAGAACTCAAAATTTAAAAACTGCATGGCAGGCAAATTCAGACAAAGAATCAGGTATACACATATTTTTATTGAGGAAGGAAGGAAAAAAATACTTTCATTTGAAAAGACAGAAAAACCTCTATTGAGGCTGTTATCCCAATTTCAACAGATGATTCAAAGATTAAAAAAAATAGTAGAGTCATTTTTACCTTTTAAGTCTATTTACATGGCTTCTTTTCAGGATCCAAAACCTAATACAGAAAAACAAAAAACAAAAAAAACTCAATGTGATGTTTTTATTCACTAATACCTACTAGGTGAACTGTCCCACATGGTTCTAATAACATCCAACCTAATGGTATTTCACACTACAGAAAGAAAAAAATAATTTTACAGAAATAAGTATTTGGTGTGATTCCTAGTTGCACAGAAATCTTCCCTATTTTAGAGAGAAAAGCATCCTCCCATAAGCACCTCTGGCTTTCTCAGATTCGTCTATGCTCAAGGAGGTTTTGCCACAGGTGGTTTTAGGAGGGTTTTTTACTTTCACATTTATTGAAATTTAATTTTGGAGAGACTATTTCCAACTAATCTATGGAAAAGAATGCAATGACTGTAACTTCACAATAACTTCTCTCATAGCCTAAGAATTTCTGAGACAAGCTATCCAACCAGCCTGACATGACTAACATGTCTGTCAGCCTTGACTCTCGCCTTCTCCTTCTGTGCTTATAACAAGAAGGCTATATTATGCCTTTATTTCCTTTGAGTTGGTTTAAAACAGGAATTAAAAGTTGCTAACTAGAGTGAAGAGATGGCTCAGTGAGTAAAAGTGATTGCTGCCAGGCTCACACATATAATAAGTAAATAAAAAATTTAAATTGCTGGTTATATTGAAGAGTTTAAGAACATTCTAATTCATACTATCAATGAATATTATTTTTTTTCAGCTACAATAAAAAAATTAATTTTCCAACCTAAGTAAATTTAGACTATCCCACAAGGCTACTTTTTCTTAAAAAGTATCTCTTCTTTTCTTTCTTTTTTCTCAAGACATGTTTTTTTTTTTTTTTTGTGTAACCTTGGCTGTCCTGGATTCACTTTGTAGACCACGCTGGCCTTGAACTTACAGACATCTGCTTGCCTCTGCCTACCTAATACTGGAAATAAAGGGGTGCACTATCACCACCCATCATAAAGTATCTTTTCAAATGTCATCCTCAATCCAAACACACTCTTTAAAAAAAAAAAAAAAAAAAAAAAGATTACCACTGTACTTACTTTAGCCAACAGTTCCTGTGTTTCAGGAGTCAGCGGGGCATGAGAAAAATTACAATGCTCACCCTGATAACATTTTGTTCCTGTGTGATAAAACTTGCAAGGATATTCATGTAGCACAGTGTTAAGGAAAATAACAATTGTATTCAATTGGAATGATTCATTATTAATTTAATAACTATTTCCTTAAAGTCTTTCTCGCCAGTAGAATCACTGATTTTCTTTTTTTAAAAAAATGAGACAATAAAGGTCTCATTTTAGAAAGACAACTTTTTCTCCTTCATATATAATCTCATAAAGGGCCACAGGTAAGTTTCACTCAGATGAAAGAAGAGCATTTTAATTACCCTGAGATGTGGTAAATGAAAATCAAATGTGTTTTAATTACCTTCAGACAGGATAAATTAAAGGACAACAGCATGTTTTACAAATCTGGATCCTTCATGCATTAGGTTTATTAATTTATGCAACATTATTATCTAGGAACTCTCAAGTTAGAACATGAAATGTCTATGGTGTATGACAAAAGAGAAATAACTTCTGTGTGACCAATGGTGTTATTACCCTAACTGCCTGTATTTCATGTTTTCATAAAAAGTTTGGTCATTAGAACTCAGGTCTTAAGGTAAGGGAACCTCCATAAAATAGCTCTGCTTTTCTATGTGAACATAGGCTCAATTAGACACCATCACAGCAGAAACTGACATCTGCTGGGCCTGACTAGGTTCTACAAACCTTCCACCACCCATGCAGAGCAGAACAGACCTACACGTGAAAGATTTTCTGAAGGATCCCTTTCCTTCTTATGGAAAAGCATATGCAACATAATCCTTTTGATACTAAGTTGGGCTTCGACAGAATCCCTCTGTTACACTAATAACTATAGTTTACTAAGATGTACCTCTTTAAATGTCCACTTTATACAGAGAGTGCAGGGAATCTTGTGATAAAGGATATTATGCAAATACAGACAGTTCTCGCCTTTGGTGCAATATCCTTGTACATAATACTTACACATTTCCTTTTTCTTCTCTATCTCTGCATCATGATCAAACTTACACTGGTCTCCCTGAGTGTAAGAATAAGCACAAGTCATGTCTCACAATTAGACCTTTGCAACTTAACTCCTACCAAACTTCAAAAGAGCACATGGAAGAGAATCCTAACAAGCTAGCATCATAGCACGACTTAGCCTGCTGACTTTAAAAAAAATCTTATAACATTTTTAATGGAAAGCATCTCTAATAAATTACCTTTAAAAAATAAAGCACTAACTAAGCTTTTTCCAGGAGCAAAGAGTTTTTTTAAAAAAACTTACAGGTATGTTTTTAAAAGACTGGCAAATGGAGACAGCAGTTCTAGCAGACTTCTGTCATAATTACATTGTAGTGTATTTTTGCTTACACACTCTCATACCTTAATACATTTCCTTTCAAGAAAGTATTTGCAAACTTGCTTCCCTTTACGTTCCACCGTGTGCTGATTGATGAAACCTTGACTCATCCTCACACATGGCTGCTTATCTTTAGGCTCAGCAGCCTTCAATACAAAAGAACAAACAGGAGAGAAAGAAAATTAAATATTTCACTGTTTTAAAAAATTGTTCTAAACTACTTTTAATACATTGGAATGTGTCTCTTCTAGCTGGGCATGGTGACCAATGCATCATCTCAGCATTCCAAGGTGGGAGCAGGGCTACAAATTCAAGTTCAAGGCCACTCTGGGCTACACAGAAGACCCTGGCTCAAAAGTGTCTCTTGTAAAAGGGCCTTAAGGAGCTAGACTCTGGCATTTCAGTTTAGAAAATGAGTGTTCATCAGTTTCAACAGCATTCAACCACTGAATGCTAGTGTTGGTAAAACCTGATTATCTCACTGTACTTTGGCCTTATTAAAAAAAAAAAATGAATACAAGAAAACTAAAATATGAACTAATTAAAAAATATTAAAATATATTACTTGTAATAAAATGAAGTCCAAAACAGAAAAAGTTATTGAAATAAAGCTGGGAATTATGATTAACAAGAAGCAGTGAAAAAATCTCTAGCTCCAATGATACATTTTTACAGTTTAATATTGAAAAAAGAAATGAGAATCTCAAGATCTATTTTAGCTCTTTAGAAACAAAAACTATTTTTAATGTGTTAACTCGTGACAGAGCTTATAGTTTCTGCATGCCTAAGTAGTAAACGTTTTTAAATATGGTGTATGCAATTAAGGAGCTAACATGACTCCTAGTCACCAGCTTTGCAAGAATATCAAGTTATGGATTTTATTAAAACCATAAAAATCATACATGTATCTCAGATCAAATCTTTGGTTTTTAATGATTCTGCTAAGAGAGTCTAACACAGGTTTAGAACTTGCTCTTCATGGAGAAGGGCTGTCAGTTCTGTGTGAAGAATCCTTTGAGTCAATGTAAAGACACAGAAGAGTGGTTAGGAAACAAGGTGCAGTCATGGCTTGGCCCAGGGTGGAGACAGGCAACCATCTCAACTCCGACTTCAGATTCCCCCCTTGTAAAATACGGAAAAAGGGACAGATTTTGTTGAAGTTATTTCAGTCTTTAGTATTTGGAATCCCCCCCACATACACTTTTGATAAGGGATCTCACTGTTAGCCAGGTCAGTCTTGAACTCCTGCTTCCAATCCTAAGCAGCTGGGACTACAAGGCACTCACAACCATGCTCAGCTAATACTTGGTATTTCTAAAAATTTAATCTTCCCAAACTATTAGCCTGCATCTAAGCAGAATAAGAAGCTTGCCATTCAGTTTAAGTCTTCAAAAAAGCACAGTCTAGAAACGCCCTTTCCTGTCCTATGCTGAAGCATATCTGCATATTAAGGAAGAACAGTTATAAAGCAAAATCACAGGAGCAGGACTGGAAAATTTGGTAAGGCCATTGCTCAGAATAGCTGTTTTTAATTTCTGGAAGGAATCAACTCAAAGGCTGAGGGCCTGCAATGTACACACTGTGCAGGGCCTTTCAACGGTCTCTAAAGCTATTTCCTTCTGCCTCCCAGTTTTCTACAGTTAGTGATGGCACAACACTCAGAGACCAGAAGAACGGTGCACCTGTATTCTGGGCCAATGGGGGGATCGCTGAGGCTGAAACTGGGTGCCGGCAGCCAGTACTGAGAAGGCAGGGAGTGCAAATGAAGGGGAGAACACAGTCACCGGCAGGCACAGGTCTCCATAAAACCCTGACCTGCGGGGCCTCCTGCCTCCCCATGTCCACAAGCACTTCTTGAAACTGCAGTGGAAGACAGCAACCCTGAAGCACAAGCATCCTCCTACAAGCCCAACTCTTGTACCTTTTCTTGGGAGCCACTGTTCTTCAGCAAGGCACCTGACCCTTTATATCCAGTGCCAGGCCACTTTCGCTTCATTTTCTTCTGTTTAACTTTCTTGTGACCAGCTTTAGATTTTTTATTTTTTTGTTTGACAGCTAAAAACAAGCAAGTTCATTTTTAAAATTAGCATAAAGGTACAACATCAGTTTAACCTTCAGAAATACGCCTCATAATACTTCAGGGACAATCGGACGCCCAGTGAAGGAAAGCTGGTGTAACAGCGACCTGACTTTCTAGAAGCTTTGTTAGTAAGAGGCAAAAAGAGACTTCTAACATCCCAATTTCAAACACATTGTCTTTGAAAAGTAGTGTTGGATGGGAGAGAAGCAAGATAATTAATTAAATCAATCTTGCAGGCCACGGGCCAGAGCATTTTGAAGACAACAGCAATTGACTGGTCAAATCGGAACTGCCACAGCTTTACAAGAGAAGACAAAAAACTAGAGGTTCAGAATGACCACATATGTTATAGATTCTTCACTGAAAACACGTCATAAAGCTGAGGATGGTGGTGCATGCTTGAGTGCTAGCTAGTTTTTTGTCATCTTGACACAAACTACAATTATCTGGGAAGAGGCACCTCATCTGGTAAGATAACTCCATCAGATCGCTTGCAGATAAGTCTGTAGGGCATGTTCTCTATTAATAACTGAAGTGGGAGGGCCCAGCTCACTGGGGGAAGTGCCATCCTGGACAGGTTGACCTGGATGGTACGAGAAAGCCATAGGGACCAAGCCAGTGAGCAGTTCCTCCATGGTCTCTGCTTCATTTCCTGCCTCTAGGTCTCTGCTGTGTCTTCTTTCAGCAACAGACTGTTCACTACCTGCAAGTTTATAATGTGATATAAACCCTTTCTTCCTCAAGTTGTTGTCATGGTTTTATCATAGCAATATACGGCAAACTAGGACAACTGTAAGCCTGGACCGAGGACACTGAGGTTGGAGGATCAGAAGTTCACGGCCATCTTCAGATACATAGCAAGTTTTAGACTATCTAGGCTACATGAGACTACCCATCTCAACATATCACAAACCCTCACACAGAAAGAAAACATTCCACATATACTAAGTTTACCCATAGTTGTATTTTGAACAGAAGAAACACCTGGAGGAAAGAATTTACGGAAAGAATTTAATTTATACTGGGTGGTGGCATATGCCTTTAATCCCAGAGCTGGGGTGGAGGTGGGGGTAGTCAGGAGGATCTCTGAGTTTGAAGCCAGCCTGGTCCACAGAGCAAGTTCCACAACAGCCAGGGCTACACAGAGAAACCCTGCCTCAAAAACAAAACAAAAATAAAAAAGAATTTCATGTGCCTTCATATGTATGACCAAATCCCATTTTAGTAATTTAAAATAATACATTTCAATGTAGAAGATAAAAATGAAAAAAAAAAAAACATTTAAAAAGAAATACATTTCTATCAGGAGATATGGTTCTGTGGTGGACTATTTCCTTAATATACATGAGGCTGGGGTGATCAGTCCTCAGCACTTAAAAACATATGGACACAGACATATACAATCATCCGGGCAGTCAACTCTTTAAACAAGAGTCATACGAGCGGGCAGCCTATCTTTTGTACATGCAGAAGTCGGGATTCAGACTTCTTCTTTGATAACTCACTAGCAGCTGCCTATTGTCTCCTACAGAACGAGCATTTATATATCAAGCAACCAAGTCTCAGCTGATGTCTTACATCAAGCATAAAGAACCACAAACGTCACCCTTTCATCATAAGATAAAGAGGTGAGACGCATTTGTCCAAAACAGACAACCATGACAAGTTCTGCAGATTAGCACTTACTCTGCTGGGTACCTTCTGCTCCCTCTTTCTTCACAGATTCTTCAGGAGGCAGTGAGGGTTGAGCAGCATTTGCCATTTCTTTGGCATGTATGTACTGTTGAAGCTCTTTGTCAAAATTATCTTCTGATTCTTGACTGCATATCTCACCATCACTGTATGGGTCATAGTCCTTACTTCTTGACTTTTTACGTGGCAAGCTCTTTGGCAATGTTGTAGAGTTTCCATGATGTTTAAACTAAGTAAAGATGAAAACTGAAAGTCTCAAAACTGAAGATTCAAAGTACACACACACATGAGCGTGCACACACACACACACACACACACAATACTGGCCATTAATTGACCTTTGCTGCATTTGTATGATGGGTATATTGGTTTCATATAGCATTTTTTATATATTTTTTTAAACACCTGAAGTTTTTGCAGAATTAAAAATGGGCTGGAGAAATGGCTCAGTGGTTAGGAGCACATAGTGTTCTTCCAGGGACCCAAGTTTGGTCCCCAGCACTGTGTCCAATAGCTCACAATAACTCCAGCTCCAGAAGAATCTGATGCTTCTAGCCTTGAAGGGCACCAGCACTCAAGTACACACACACACACACACACACACACACACACACACACACACACACGCACACCAAAACAAAAAAACCAGTAAGTATAAATTTTAAAACACAGACACAAAAGCAAAACCAACCAACCAACCAACCAACCAACCAACCAACCAACCAACCAACCAACCAACCACAGACAGGCCTAGGAAGATGGCTTAGTTAGTCAAGCATCTGCAGGCATGAGAACAAGGTCAGGTCCCTAGTACCATAGCTGGTTGTGGTGGCCTCATCCGTGTCCCTAGGAGACAGAACTAGGTGAATGGAGATAGACAGATCCTTGCAGTTCATTGGAAAGCAAACCTAAGTGCATCAATGAACTCAAGGTTCAGAGAAAGACTGGTCTCAAAAGAAAGCAAAGAACAACCAAGGAAGACATTGAACATCAACCTTTGGCCTCTACATGTATACATACACATGTACATATACACACACACAGAAAACAAAACAACAAAACCCAAAACAAATAAACTACAGTGACATATTTATCTTTAAACATAATTTGAAGGTTCTGAATTTGAAAAAAAAAAAATATTTACAGGTCTGTAATCTCAGCATGCGAGAAATGAAGGTAAGAGCATCAAGTCCAAGGAGAACCTCAATTACACAGCTCAAGGACATCCCAGAACACATGAAATCCTGTCTTAAAAATTATTTTTATAAGCTTTGATTAAGATGTCTATATTTAGCAACATGGGTATATCAATTATGTAATTATGATAAACATGTATAATGCATTTTAAAGAAAAGGTTTTTTGCTTTTTCGTTTTACTGAGAAAGGTTCTTGCTATACAGCCCAGCCTGGCCTCAAACTCATGGCAATCCTCTCTTCTCAACCTCTCAATCACAGGAGTGAGGCATCAGAGCGTTTTTCCTTTAGCTACCTGTTTTTATAAATTAAGTTCTACGGGAACCCAGTAATGCCCATCGATTTATAAGCTGTTTCTGTTCTGCTTAGTTGTGACAAAGATTACAAGGCACAAAGTCATCAAGATTCACTAAATGATGCTTTAAAAAAAAGGTTAGCCTACTCCTATCAATAGACTATGGATTTATGGTCTCTAATTTTATTTAGAAGGCAGAGAGGTATATTAGAATGTAAGACTTTGCAAAGAAAAATTAAGGGGCACTTGAGACCAAAAATAGCTCTGAAAGCAAAGGGCTATTTTACAAGCACATAACCTGACTTTAAGGCACAGAACCAACATTTTTTTTTTTAAAAAAGCAGGACATAGAGACAAGAGAATCCCTGGAGCCAACCTGCTAGCAAGACTAGCCCATTTGGTGAGTTCCAGGTGAGTAAGAGACCTTGTCTCAATAAATATATCTATTATATACACACACACATATAGGTGAATGGTGCCTCAAGAGCAACATCCAAGGTTGTCCTCTGGTGCTTTCATGAATGCATATACACACAGGGACACACAACCTCACACACATGAGCTCCTTCCTGCCAATACTCACACATAATCACATACACAAACTGCTTAGAAAGAATTAAGACAAAGACTATACAATAGTCTAAAGATTCCAATTCCCCTCTAAATAATCTATAAATTTCACATATTTGCAATGGAATCCTACTGGGCGTTTCTGTGGTCCCAGATAAACAGACTCTAAATTTGCATGGATGGGCCTATGTCTAAGAATAGCGACCGCAAATCTAGTGTGCTAGTGCACACCTTCAACCCCAGCACTCTAGTACTCTGCCCAGAGAGGCAGAATCAGGTGGATTCCTGAATTCAAGGCTAGCCTGGAATACAAAGAGGATAGCCAGGGCTACACAGAGAACAAGAACAGATAGTTGAGAAAACTGAACACTTGATTTTAACAAAAGTGACAAAGTAAAACCACAGGGACAAGACAGCCCCTTTTTGATAAATTAATAGTCCTAGAACAATCAGGTAGGATATAATAAATAAATGAAGAAATGGGTTGCCTGCGCCCCATAGAGATTATAAATTTCAATGTGAAAAGGCAAAATAAAGCTTTAGAAAGTAATGTAAGAAAATATGCTCATCAATACACAAAGGATACATAAGAACATATTCTTAAAACCAACTACCTTAAAACTGTGACATTTATAAAAAATATCACTGGATGGAAAGAAAACTAAAATAAGCAGGTATCTACAACACATAACATAAAAAATGATGATCAAAAACTACTCCTAAAGAACTATAAATTAAGAAAACAACAACAACAAAATGTAATCTCAGTGAAGGAAAAGCAGATGGAAAGACTTGAACAACGTCAAGTAAACAAACCTACAGGGAACCAGTAACACTCGTGAAAACAAGACTGGGATGTCCTGGCATCCTCCTCAGACAGAGCAATAGACAGTGTCTTTCTCATCCATGGTGCTGGAATAGAAGCTTGTACAACACTTTCTAACACAGTTAAGTAGCAACAGAAGGCAAGGCTGCTCATGCATGAGGACCCAGCAGGGCAATGCAGAGTGCATGCGAAGGACGCAAGTCAAAGAATGCCATAGCACAGCTAATGAAAGCAAGCCTAGTGCCCACCTACAATAGGACACCCCGTGTTCCCATGATGAACCACTGTGCTGCAATAAAGAGGAACGAGCACACACTAGGTTTACGAACTTTAAACCGTACCCTTAAGGATGACCACACAAGCAGTAAGACTGTAAAGAACAAGGAAGGTATCAGTCCCCCAGTTAGAAATGCTCATCTCAGGGGCTAACATGGAGGAAGGAGACAGCAATACTTTCTTTTGACCTGAAGTGCTGACCTGAGTACCCTACTAAATTGGCCATAACCCTACATATATATTCGTACAAGTGGCTGAAGAGCCTGGATTGAAGCAACTCTACTTGCGGTATCCATCTTTTCATATAACTTTCTTGGAAATTACTTAAGAATACAATATGCTGTCTGTCTATCTGCTATGGGAATAGTACTGTGGGCACAGAACTGTGGGCATGAAGGACTGAGGCGTGTATGGCTACCCCTGTGAGATAATAAAACTGCAGCTTCTGGACATCAGCCTCAGCTTTGTTTTATTTTGTTGTCTGTTTTTTGTTGAGACAAGATTTCTCTGTGTAGCCTGGGCTATCCTAGACTCACTCTGTAGACCAGGCTGGCCTCGAACTCACAGAGATCACCCTGCCTCTGCCTCCTTGAGTGCTGGGATTACAAGTGTTAGCCTCAGTTCTTATCCACAGCAGTTACATGGGAGCTCAGAGCCTTCCCTAGGAGACGAAGGTATGTCAGCTGTATTTTCTCTCCTAGATCTCTTTAAAAAGCTGATTTGTGCGTTACAAGTTTCATTGCCAATATGAACTATGTTAACATTTACTGCTTCCCCAAAACTTTTCAAAAGAAAGAGTAGATACTGACTTTGTGATGGACTGAACTTGAGTCTCCCCCTCTCCCCCAACCTAAATTCTTACGCAGTCTTAATCCTTAATATTTCAGGTTGTGGCCTATTTGGAAATCAGGCCATTGTGGATAAGGTCAGAATGTTTCCCAGCCACGGAAAGCCAAAAAGCAGCAGACAGGTCTGGAACAGATCCTTCCTCACACATCCCAGAAGGAACAACCTTGCCAGCACCTTGCTGTCAGATTCTGTTCCAGTCCCACACTGCAAGAGAATGCATTTGTGCTGCATCCTGGCAAGGCAGTCCCGACACATTAATCTGGGTTTTAATCAGTCATTACTAAGGCAAGTAATGAAGTTGGCAAGTCAGACCTTAAATTTTACATCTCATTTGACAGGAAAGAAGCTTTTCAAAAACAGTTTACAATTCATTTCAAAAACGGGAAAACTGATCTTGTTACAGTACTGGCACACTCTCCATCTTATGGTGGGGGCAAGAAAGTTACTGAAAGGTGAGTTTCCTTGGCCTAAGTAACTGGACCCCACATGCTGAATACAGTGAGACAAACAAGATCCTGCATGCTCTCACGTCCATCCAGAGCCGTCTCAACATGCCAGCTGAATCTTACTTTCTTGGGGATTTTTTCACAGACCCGCTTTACTTCCCATTTGACTTTCTCTGTCTGCGTTTCTTCAACTTCAGTACCATCTACTTCATCATCAATTCTGCAGCAAAAACAGCAAATAGCACAAAGGGGTTTATTGCACAGCATTAAAATTCATCACTTGGGTTTGTCTTAAAATAAATTTGAAACTCATAGTCTACTCTAAATATTCTATTAAAAAATCAACATTAATAAAAACAGCAAGGTAGCCAGGTATGGTGGTGGAGCCCTTTAATCCCAACCTCAGGAGGCAGGTGGATCTCTGTGAGTTCGAGGCCAGTACAGCAAGTCCTGGGTTACATAGTAAGACTATCAAAATAACAGTAACAATGATGATGTTGACCAGTAAATGTTAATATACATATGAATAACCCATAAAGCGGAAACTTTATATTACATAATGTTAATGCTTAAGAAGTAGCTTTACATAAATCACCATTCATTCATCATTCCAGTCACTCAGTACATACTAAGTATTCACCACATGCCAGGCTGTGGCCTCAGATCATGAGGAACAACAATGAAAAAGACAAGCTGTTCCTGCCTTCTGAGAGCTTTCTATCTTCTTAGGAGAAAAACAATACAGGTACATATATAAGGAAGTTATACATGTTAAGATTAGATTTGGAATTTTCTAAACAGAAAAGATATGGAAGGATTATAAAAGAGAAGAGTATGTGAATGACCCTTTCACAGGGGTCGGATATTTACATTACAATTCATAATAGTAGAAAAACTATAGCTATGAAGTAGCAACAAAAATAATTTTATGGTTGGGGGTCACCACAACATGAGGAACTGTATTAACAGGTCCCAGCATTAGAAAGGTGGAGAACCACTGATCTAGAACTAAATATGAATCCAGATGAAGAGACAGAGACTATCAGAGCCTGGAGAACTGTGCCTTAAGCCACGCCCAGTCATTCTACACTGCCCTCTCCACTTCAGCACTCCAGTGGGAACCATGATTCTCAGTCCTTCTTCTTGACCCACCCATAAACCAGCTCCAGCAATACTGTGCTGTCCTGTTTCCTCTTCCCCTGTTGCTGCTATTTTTTTAAAAGGATAGGGTCTCACTGTGTAGATGAGGCTAGCCTCAACTCAAATATCCACCGCTTGGCCTACCCAGTACTGGGATTAAAAGTGTGACACCATGCCCCACCGCTTCTTCTTCATCTCCTTGGTTCACTCTTTATCTTTGCAACTCTTAACAAAGCCAGTTCTCACCTTTCTTTTCTCTATAATTTCATTCTTGGTGATGTCTTTCAATCTTCTGGCTTCTATTATCATTTCTATATAAATAATTCCAATATTCTAGTCTCCAACTCCCTACCCATAACAACCTAACAGGCAACTTCCCATTCAACTGATTTACCCGGATACCCACCAAATACCTTGACTATCTTCTTTACAAAATCTGGACTATCCTTATCATTCCACAAATACTTCCTAACTCCTCACTCAACTTTTCATTTACCCCATGGCTTTCATTACCATCTAAAACACTATGTAGCCATGGTCCACCTCAATAATACACAATTCATGAGCATTAGTATTTTTCTGCACTTTATTCATTTACTGTTCTACCACCATCGCCTAGAACGATGTGTCATATGTCAACAGAAGTTGTTTTAAATAAATGCATATTCCCATCAGGGACAAAAAGTCATCCCTGTTTCAAGCAGGAGAAATGGCTTAGGAATTAAGGGCACAAGCTAATCTTCCATGGGACCCAGTTTGGTTCCCATCACTTATACAGTCAACAACTCTCAGCAGCACCCGTTCCATGGGATCCAATGCCCTCTAGCCTCCAAGGGCAATGGACACATGTTGTACAGAGACATACACGCAAGCAAAACATTCACACATCGAAAATAAAAATAAATTAAAAAACATGTTTCAATGCACCGAAAAAAAAATCTACAGTCAAAATCAAAGATAAAATGAGAGAAAGCACAAAAATAGAAAATATTGAATAAGACCTAAAGTCAAAGTGAAAAGCAGACATATGAACAGATACCTTACTTTCATATCATTCTTCACCTATCTTTTGGCAGATCCAAGTGTCTCTTATATATTTCGGCCAAACTTTTGTAAATGGGTATTTTTGTCTAAAATATGTTCAAACTGTTTGCTAATTTTTTATAAATCTTGCTAAATTCTCATACATGTTAAAATTATCATTTTGTTTCTCTTGCTGTTCTTAAATGCATCACCTGCAAGCAGTGTCCATTTCTTCACAGTATCTAGAGGACCCTAATTTACATGAGTAATTCTACTTTAGAAGCTGAGTGATTAATACCAGCACTCAGGGAGGCAAAGGCTGTCAGACTGATATGAGTTCCAGGCCAGCCCGGTCTACAAATCGAGTCCAGGACAGCCAAGGCTACACCGAGAAACGAACCCTGTCTCGAAAAACCAAAAACACCAAAAACAAAAAACAAAACAAAACAAAAAAAAGACCAAAACCAAAACCAAACAAATCTTTAAGGGTGACTGTATGCCTCGATTTTCTCATCTGTAAAATGAGAACATCACTTTCTGCTTAAGGTTGATGTGATGGCTAAATTTCACGTCAAGCACAAAGTGAAGCCCGAGTAGCCCCATTAGGTAATAGTTCCCGCTAAGGTATTTGCCCTTCCCCCTTCAGACAGGGTTTCACTCAGTAGTTGAGACTCCTAAAATCAGCCTGCCTCAGCCTTTCAGTGCTGGGATTAAAGGAAGGCGTGGCATCATGGCCGGCCCAGCGCTGGAAAACTATCTGAAATGAGGGTGGAAAAAACCGCGTTTAGGATGTGTGTCAAGGGCTCCACCGAGGGAAGATGGGAACAGAGAAAACAGGGGTTCAGGAGAGTCGGGGTCTGGAGGCACTTTCAACTCAAAAGACTAAAAAGTGAACGGTTATCTGTACAAGAGTCCTGCACTCTGCACTAGTAAGAGAGTAACAACACGCCTTTCCAATTTAACAGAAATACTAAGCCGGAACAGCGCTTGCTGCTTTATTCTGGGATTTTTTTTTTAGTTCAGGATCACTGGCAGGGCAGTCTCTGTGTACCCTTCAAACTCTCCTGAACCAGGAGTGTCGGCAGAGCCGCCTCTGAGCTCGGTGACAGGAAACGGGTCAGGAGCACGTGCAAGGGGAGCAGCCGGCCCCTGGGGGCACATCTGCCGAGGCTGGAGCCTCCTCCCGCCGCCCGGCCACTGCCCTCGGCCCCGACCTCCAGCCCACTCCCCCTCGCGACCTCCCCGCTCCGGCCTCGGCCCACGCGCCAGCCCAGGCTCGGGGGGCTTCCAGGAGCGAGGGGGCGGAGCCCGGGCGGTGCCCCCGCAAAGGATGAAAACGCGTGGATCACCTTTCCTCAGGGTCGGCGGCCGGTTTTTTGCCGAGGGCCGGATTGGGGGGTTTTGAGAAAAGATTTTCAAAATCCATAACTCAGACGGAGACCCGTCCGTCTCCACGCCGAGCAGCTACTGAGCAACCAAGACAGCGGAGGCTAAGGAAGCCGGGGGCGCGCCGAGGGCCGCAGGCCCCGCCCCCCGCGCGCGCGCGCACGCGCACGGGCTGCTTGGCTCGGTTCCGCAGCAGCCCTGGCCCGCCCTACCACGCAAGCGCAGTCCTCACGAGGGCGCGTTCAGTGTCTGCGCTGCGCACGCGCAGCTCCCTGTGCTTGCCGTGCGCGTTCGCATACCTTAGTGCAGCAATCTAATAGCATTAAAAAAAAAAAAAAAAAAAAATATATATATATATATATATATATATACTAATTTTTAGGATTACAAGAAAAAGTATCATTTGTGTGTGTGTGTGTGTGTGTGTGCGAGAGAGAGAGAGAGAAAGAGAGACAGTACATGAGTGCAGATGCTCTCGGAGGCCAGTTATTGTGGAGTTACTGTGACCCTCCTGACGACGATAATTGAGTTCTCCTAACAGCTGAGCCATTTCTCTCTCCAGCCCCTTTAAGACTTTTCTTTCGGTTTGGTGAAGCCCCCCTGGGCTGCAATCACACTGTTTCTCGTAGGGACTGTAAGAATGCACATTTGACAGGTGAATAAACAAAATCCGCTCCGCTGCACAGACAGGAACTTACACCGTCTCTCCCATGGAAGAGCAAACACGTCAATTTATTTAAAGCAGGCAGGTTCGTTAGAAAGTACTAAGTGTTCAGACTACCCGGAAGAGGGTGGGCACACGCAAACGGGTTGGGAAAGCTTCAAAGGGTCAGTGAGCTCAGTCTTGAGATAATTTCCAGAGGAAGGGATAAAACTGCACTTAAATGTGTGTCCCAAGGAGAACTGTAAAGGTAGAAAAATAGAGAACATCTGGGAAACGGGAAACTGTTTAATAGAAGTAAATATAAGAAAGTAAAAACTCAAACTATGTGTTGGGCCAGGACAGAAAACCTGACTCTGCTGTAAATGAAGGGATTATTTGATACCTAGCATGGATCATGTTCCAGTCCACTGATAAGGAAAATGATTTGAGGTCAGACCTCTTCCAGAGGGTAGTTCTACCTCTCCAGTTTTTTGTTTGTTTGTTTGCACTTGGTTACTAAAAATTATTAGAAAAAATAAGGAGGTAAAAACTAATAATATCCCTTCTTTAGAGGAAAATAGTAGATGATAAAATTATTTCCATACAGACCTTTTCATATTAAAAAAAAATGTCCAGAATTTGGGCTGTGCGAGGGGCTCAGTGGTAAAGGCACTTGCTGCCAGGTAGGCCTACTTAAATGGAAGGGTATCCTGAGACTCAGAAGCCCTAGAACCATACAGTTCTGTGGTGGAAGCCTCCTCAGCAAAGGTATTGTAGCCTCCCCAGCTGAGCCTCAACCCTGCTCTGCTTCTTCCGTTCTTCCCTCCTTCCAGCGAGGGAGTCACACCAGGCAGCAAAACTCATAAGACTTATTAGGAGGGCACAGATCGGCTAGCCCTACTCCCAGGAGAGTGAACAAAGGGCAAGCCTTATATAGGATTTCTTAGGGCGGAGTTTTTCAGGGCAGAGATTTCCAGAGTGAGGACTGGTGAGATTTCAAGTCTTGAGCATGGGGAGATCAGTCATTGGAGGGTTTTCCTGCTCAGGGATTGGTGGCTTTTTCTCCTTTTCCCTACATCAGTCCCCTGGGTTAGGCTAGGAAGACCTTCCCAGGCGCAGGTGGCTTTGGCTGAGGCACCACTGCTGTGGAGCTGCTCAGGGAGGCTAGAGAGGAGATGCTGCCACCGAGGCTAGCTCCTGAGGTGGCATGGCTCCACTATGGCTGCGGACCAAGGCAGGACAGAAGTTGCAGACACCGTGGTGGCATCTCACGAAGGCAGCAGGCTGAGGAGGCATCACTGCCTAGACGGGTGCAGCCATCTTGACAGCTCCTGTAGCTGTAGCGGTACCCCACGGTGGCACAGGCCTGGCAGGAAGCAGGGGCCAGCGCTTTGACAGCTCCCGACTCATACTGCTCAGGGACTGCGTGATGGCTGGAGTTTGATCCGTGGAACCCACAGGATGGAAAGACAGAGCTAACTACCACACATTTAACATAAATAAATGTGATTTTAAAAATGAAATTCTCTGGTCTTAGTGTACTGTATGTCTCTGCGGAGGTTGGGGTTGGGGGGTTGGCTCTGAGGGGAAAGGTATCCCGACAGTCAGGAGCCAAGACTACCACAAAGTCACAGCAAACAACAAATTTCACACAAGAGGTTTATTGGGAGGGGAAACCCCAGGAAGGTAGCTGCCTCTGGTTGAGCAAATATCAGCAGAGAACTGAGCAGAAGACAGTTTCTATAGGATTTCAGAGTGTGGAGGGGAAGCTTTCCAGGGTTGTCATTGGTGGGATTTCAAGTCCTGGCTTGATTTTTACTCTGTAAGGTGCGGGCTGGGTTCGGCCATTAGGGCAGTTAGAGTGTTCTGTGGGTGGAACCTGGAGGTCCTCAGGGGAGGGGCCTGGCTACTCTGGTGCCTGGGGAGGCTTGTACTTAGTTCCAGTCTTGTTCCAAATAAACAAACAAAAATTTAAATGCCCACAATAGAATGAAAGACAAGCAGACACAAAGGAAACCACACGCGGGCTTAAATTTTGACACGCGAAACCATCACATTTTAGTATTGTCAGATAAATATTGGAAAAGATTGCATGCACACGCAGTAGATGGCTCAGCGCTTAAGAGCGCTGGCTTCTCTTCCGGGGGACCTGGGTTGGAGCCCAGCACCCACCCGGCAGCTCGCAAGCTTCTGTAGGAACTGTGGGTTCCAGGGGATCGGATGCCCTTTTCTGACTTCTGAGGGCATCAGGTATGCATGTGGCGCACGGACGCACATTCAAGCAAAACAGTCATACACATAAAATCAATAAATTTACGAGAGAGAGAGAGAGGAAGGTCAACCTTGGCTACATACATAGGAAGTTTGAGGCCAGCCTGAGCTACATGAGACCCTGTCTCAAGCCTTCACACACATGCCAAATAAACCAGCATGATAACAAGTAAGAACAACTCAAGAGGATAAGTATCTAGAACACCCTAATTTATAGCGATAGTAAAGTGGGGATCCAGAGGTTGAAGAGAGGTTACAGCTTCTGTTTGACGTGATGGGAGCATCTGGAAACAGCTAATCGTGATCGGTACACCTTAGTCTGAGTGTGACTAATGGCACTGACATTGTGGAGTTCAAAATGGACGGGAGAGCAAGGTTTATGACATTTTACAAAATGCGAGGGAAGGAAGTATCTGGCAAGATGAGAGGGTGCAACGACCCTTGAAGACTGTCCCAGCCTTTCGAGGCACGCAGTATTGAGGGGGTATGTCATCACCAGCAAAGGAACCTAGGGTTCAAACAGGAGCTGATGCTTTCCATGGCCCCCGAGAATGCCCCAGGAAGGAGTGTACTTTCCTTCTCACGGCTGCAGATGTCAGAGCGGGCTTTCAACCTCGGCACAGCTGTCATTGGGATTGGACAATTCTTCGCTATGGAGGACAGTTGTGCATTGTAGGACATTAAGCTGTTTCTGCCACTAGATGTCAGTAGCACCTGCTCCTGACATCAAAAATCATAGGCTGAGAAGAGAAAGATTGAGGAAAGGAAAAAACAAAACAAAACAGTAACAACAAAAAAAACCCAAACCTTCCCTTTTGAAAAGCCTAAAACTTCGCCAGAATCAATGAAACATATCAATTTACAAGTCTACACAGCAAACAAATATCAACATTTCAGCTGTGGCAAGCAAAAACTTCTTGACAAATACGGAGGGAAAGGGGTTGGAGGAGAATCATTCCTAGTCCAAAGGCACTGGGCCTAGACCAACCAATCCCCAAAACAGCAAGACTTCTATTAAAGTTATGACAGTCTTTCACAACTTCAGGTTGAGATGGCCATTTGTCTGGCTCGTCATGCCAGAGAATCAACATGTAAAAAGGGAAGACGTCCACTGGTGGGTAACGTGAACCCACCATTGTCACCCCAGCCACACAATGAGCCCAAGTAAAACCGTGTCTAAAAAGAAGGGTGGTTTCTGAGGCAGGATCGGGGCTAAACAGTCCTGTGCTCTGTGACTAAACAGAAACGACCACTACCACAAACAACAACACTTGCTCCCCAACGGACTACCCACCAGCCAAGGAGCCAAGACCAGCTCAGGGCAAGGGGAATGTGACAAAGGGCTGAGGAAAAAAGATATAAAAATGGCAGCTTTAAGCACACGATGTTAGTAAAAAAATTTAAGCTAGTGTTTGTGTTAGTAAAATCGTGTGTTGCACGATGACGCTTTACTGCATTGTGACAATGGCAGACTGCATAACTGACTGACCCTGTAGGCTTATAATGAAGGTGAAAAAATCCCGTCACCTTTGTGGCACTGCAGCTGTGGTAGCATCAGAGCAAACTTATTACTTTTGTGTGCTGATGCTGACGTGGAAAATAACTCTGCTGCTAATTGTGCAAAAGCACAGCACATGCCGTTATGTATGCAACATGGCACTTCACAATGGGAAGGCTTTGTTGTTGCTTTATGGACTTGCTATACTTTGGATCAGTGTAGACTCACTTGTATTTTAAAACTTGAATCTAAAGCAGTATGTCATATTATCCTGGCAGCAGCTTCATATATTTCATGGGCCTTAAGTCTCTGCATTGCACTGAAGTCTCCTTGACCGGCCACACCCTTGAGATTTCTGTAATACTATGATGATGATGTTTACCTGGCAAAGAAACTGCCTCACATCTTCAGTAGCTCTGTCTTCATCACTAAATAAGTTTCTCCTCCCTCAGCCCATCTCTTCCCTGTTTTTCTTCCCATGCTCTTGCTACCTGGCAGATGTTTTCATAGCAATTAATTTAAAAGCTCACTGTGTCAGTTATAGTAAAAGATGGAAAAAGTATGGGGCTTTTTATCCTATTTGGGGAACTGTTAGCATGCTTTTGGTTGAATGTAGGATAATCACATCACCTTAGGTAGAAAGTACAACTGGGTTATTTTTCTTTATCTAGGAGCTTGGTATAAAGGGCATATGTGTAGTGGGAAATGTGTACTTGGTGGTTTTGCAATATGTCATTTTGGCAAGCTGAGCTTCTTCCACGATTCCTG